CATTTCAAAGAGTCTTGCCACCAAGCGATCTACCAAGCTTTGTATTCTGCTCACCAGGACTAACCCACATCAATTTTACCGCAGAGGCTGTATTGCAAAAGCTGACTTCTCTACGCAAACACAGCTCGCCGGGTGTCGACGCCATTCGTCCAGAGGCATTGGGAGCAGCAGCAAACCAACTGGCAGGACCTTTAGCTCAGTTTTTCCAGCACTGCTTAGACCAGAACCAAGTTCCCGCCATGTGGAAGCTTGGAATAATAAGCCCGATTCACAAAGGTGGAAGCAGAACTGATCCCTCCAACTACCGCCCAGTAACCCTTCTTCCTATACTCTCCAAGGTCATGGAATCCATAGTTGCCGATGCACTGGTGTGCTATCTGGAAAACTGCAACCTCATCACTCCTGAACAGCACGGTTTCCGTCGACAGCGGTCATGTACAACTAATTTACTAATTGCACGCAGTAGTTGGACCGAGGCAGCCGACGCTGGAGTAGGTGTTGATGTGATCTACCTGGATTTTTCCAAGGCTTTCGATCGTCTAGACCATCGGATACTACTATCCAAGCTGCAGCATTACGGGATCGGCGACCCTCTTTTAAGCTGGATCGCCAACTTTCTACTTCAACGGCAATTAGTGGTCAGAGTTCGGAGCTCTTATCGGACCCCATACAAGTCGAGTGTGGTGTGCCGCAAGGCTCGGTTCTAGGTCCACGTTTGTTTTTGGTGTTTATTAATGACCTTGCACAGGGAATCGCTTCAAACTTCCTAATGTTTGCCGACGATATCAAGATCTGGCGCAGGATCCAGGCGAACACCGACCAACATGTGCTTCAGAGTGATTTAGATACGGTGTATCAATGGTCGACCCAAAACTTATTGCATTTCAACGTCAGTAAATGCAAGGTGCTTTCCATCCGACATCAAAGCAGCTACTCATACCGACTCGGAACGGATGTACTGCAACAATCAACTCTCGAACGTGACTTGGGTGTCCTGGTTCAAGATGACTTGGGTTGCTCCAGGCAATCCGAAAAGGCCTCGAAGACCGGGAATCAACACGTTGGGCTGTTGAGGCGGGCGTTTGGACAAATAAACAGCTCCATATTTCGACAAATGCTCAGTGCGTATGTTCGCCCCCATGTCGAATACGCAATTCAAGCCTGGCATCCATGGCTGAAACACGACCTTAATGCACTGGAGCAGCCACAACGCCGGGCATCTAAGAACGTAATTGGAATGCGCAATCTGTCCTACCAGGAGAGGCTGCGACGACTGGGATTGTTCAGTGGAAGCTATCGCAGACTACGAGGCGACCTGATTATGGCATACTTGATTCTGCGAGACCCACATCATGTGTGCCGCCCTTTACTGCAACTCAGCAGCAATACAAACCTGAGGGGCCACTCATTAAAACTCGCAGAACAATACAGTCGTCTGGAGTGCCGCAGAAATTTCTTTTCCATCCGTGTCTGTCACCCGTGGAATGCTCTCCCAGAATCGGTCGTCTCTGCACCGACACTAACAGTATTTAAAAGACGGTTGGACGATGCACTCATCCACTTACACTTTGTTACTTAACACTACGTCTCCATCCTACACCTGGAGTTTACCCTGGAATTATTTGTTGTTAACTGTGGGTGTTGTGAATCTAAGTGGATCGCAGGACTGCAGCGAAGCAAACGATAAGTCCTTATTTTCATATTTAAAGTATTAACTATTTTACTATCCTTATCATCATTATTGTTATGTTGATATCCCACCAACTATCCAACGGGACTTGTAAAGCAACGCTTCTTAACCCGTATAAATTCATTATTCATTGTTTGCACTGTTGGCTAGTTTGAGATAGGTACAATTGAGGCTGGCTCATCTGTATCAGGTCAGTACTACTTGAATGAATGGTCTTAACTGTACTTCTGGTGGCCCAAGTTTCCTGTTGTCATGTCATGCTTGGATTGCCACTGATACCATTTCGGGCGCAGCCAAGGTAACTTTCAAAATTCGTGGCCCGCTGCCTTGGTAGTTTGTGGAGGCAACTAGACGGGTGACGTCAAAATCCACGGTATTCCGCGTGTCGTATAGTTCTGCGATGTACCTCCGTTCTTCGATGTCGTGCTTCTGTCGTTCACTGCTATCGTCAAGTTTCAATTCTGGCACACCACGAACTAGTACCACTTTCTTCACCTCATTTTGACGTGACGAACTAGGGTTAGATTTCCGCTTCTTCGCCATATTTCGAAAGAGTTGTACAGAATCCATTTCTACTTGCTCTATAATACAGTATTCAGATTTAACTTGCTAACTCACTAAATCAATAAGAGCCCTGCGCTTTGTACTCTGCAACCAGACTGTTCCTTCTGGAGGTAATGGGAGACAGCGACACCCGAAGTGTTGCTTATGTCAAGTTTCTTCCGTTGTTTTGTTTTGGTTGCTGACACTACAGAAAACTCCGCTTCACACAGATAGTATGTCGGAAATGGCAATCTGTTTATGTCACACAGTTAAGCCAGTTTTGCGACCCGTACATTGTCACTGAAATATGGTGCCAGCGGTGACTTTTCAGGGAGAAATCTTTGCAGTCGCTCTCGTATTCCAAATCCTCTGGTTAGCGGTTTTTCTCTTCATAACCAGCTTATTTCTGTGTGCAAGAGAAGGCATCTGTGCTCTGCGTCCATCTCTTCACAAAGCTGCTCAAACAGGCGTGAGCTAACTGTGTGTGCTTTGATGTGGATAATAATTGCAGCATCAATCAATACCCTATTACATTCCGGTGACATTTGTCGGCTTGCCAGCATTTCCCTGTGAATGATACAATGCGCAGATTCACTCTCAGTTGCAACCTCCTTAATCCGAGTATTCAAACCAGACAGTCGTCCGGTTACGACAGCAGCTCCGTCTGTGCATATGCCGATAGAAGAAGACCATTTTAGTTGTCCTGATATATAACCATCCAGCGACTTGTACAGTTCTGCTTCTGTGGTGTTAGTTGGCCAAGATAATGCACATAATCAATCCTCATACACATCCTGCTGATAAAGATATCGCACATAAGCAAGTAGCATTGCCTTGTTGTCGATATCTGTTGATTCGTCAACCTGGAGTGCATACCACGGTGAGGTATTAATCTTCTCCAACAATTGCGTCCCAATGTCTTAGGCCATTTCCTCAATACGCCTAGTCACAGTGTTAGCCAACAAATGCTCATGTGCTATCTATTTAAAAGCGGCGTCCTAAAGTTTCACGGCAAGTACCTTTAGTGGAGGGCAGGATCAATTCTTCCCCGATAGCTCTTTAGCCTTAGCAGTGCGGTTAGCCACCAAATATGATGTACTCAGTGCACCATCCTTTATTTATGTGGTGACCCCCGGAAGTTTTGTCTGTCTTACGTGTGCCCGTTTTTTTTCTTTTTCAAAATACTCCAAGGGGTTCTCTTTTAATCCACGGTGCTTGACGTTCAAGTGACGAAGCAGTTTTGAACGTTTCATTGTCTCATAAGAGAGCTGGTCGCCGCAAACTATGCAGAGCGGGGTTGGTGTGTGGAAATCACTTGTCCCGATGAATCCATGTTTCAAGTAGGACTCATGGTATTGTCTGGTAAAACTTTTATGTTTTTTTCATGTTGAAGGCTCTTCTGTCTCTTCACTGTGCCTTTTCATTTTCCCAAGGAAACTTTCTAACGGCCTCTGTTTCTTACTCATTCTTGCTAATCTGCGAGTTAACTTTGAGCGCTCAGGTGACCGCGATGTAACCTGAAAAAACATCCCTAAACTCAGATAGTAAATGTGCACGAAAATAGAGCAGAAGTAAAACACTATATACAGGTACACCAAGCATTGTTAAACATGAGAGAGTACCGGTGTACAGAGAGAAAAGCGATACACACTTTCTTCCAACAAAGCTGCAACGCCACTGCCGATCGCAGCCACTCAGCTCCCGGTTAACCTCTCGTCCATGGAATGTCGCACAATCCCGAGAGAAATAAACCACAATAAATAAAATGGAAATAATTTAATGTTTTTTGGGCGGACCGGTACCGGTTCGCAGCCCCGGGGGTTGGGGACCACGGTTGTATATGACACAGACAAAAGGCATCAACAATACTCCAGTACACCGTATAGACACTTCGCTACCGCGCAATCACCACCAATAGTCGCACGTGAGCTAAGGATACTGCGATAGTCGCCCGATTTCCTCCGCAAGCTCAAATCCGTGCCCTTGGATGACAAGGCAGGCTTGTGATTTTTAAGGCTACGTGTCAGCCCTATAACAGAGCAAGTGAACCATGCAGCACCATCGTTCTACGCACCAGATTCCAATGACTGTGCCATTTGTTACACTGACACCCTCAACTTGTGTTGTTTGCACGACCGGGATCTGGATGGAAGTAGAGGGGGGCGAGGTCAGCCGATGCGTCGGTCAGTAGAAATAAAATTCCTGCATCCGAAATTGGGCTCGGTTAGTGCTTGCCGTTTTACTGGCTGGGGTCGCGCCGATGGTGAACACATTTGGTTGGTTATCTAGTCAAGAGACGATCTCATTGTTGATGTTTTTGATGTGAGTTTCTTTATCCGTTCTTTCTCTTAGCCTTCTTCGAATACAGTATGTTTTCGATACAAAATGAAACAGCGCAATATAACATTTTTCTTTTCCTACCATTTGACAGTGTCGCGTAGTAGCAATATTATCCAGATCTTTTCCATCTATAGCTAACATGTTGAGTGGACTCGGATGTTGCAGCTGCTTCTTGGCGCTTTCTGGTGAAAATTAGTATCAAAGGAACTCGTAACTTCCGAAGTGTTTTAATCTGTTTACTAGATTCCTAGTTTTCAATGTTGTTATTTACCTTTCTCCCTCTTGACACTAACCGTTTTTCTCATCGGCTCATGGAATATACTGTCGCTTTCCGAAACGGCTCTGAAAACATTTGATACTGTTCTTTTCTAGGTGCTTGTGTTTTAAAGTGAGATTCCACAACTACGCACTTTTTTGCTGTGTTTCAGCCTTCCTATGAGTGAAGAGAAGCGCCCAGAAAGCACTTTGACATTCAACTTGTTCTTTCTTGGCGCCCACGGCCACGCAGACGTGAATGCCAAGCGCGCCCGATTTTCTGAGATTGTCGCATTTTGGGTGCTCCAGTATCCTTGGTACAATGAAAGATTTCATCTCTCTCTGTCCAATGTATTGGGTAATTGCATCGTCTTGGAAACATCCGACATTTGACAGATTTACCAACACCTTGTTTATGTGGTCAATTGAACTTCGGTGACTGCATCGAAGACGAGTGGTTTGCAGTGTGGATTCTTTTACAGTTGACCAAAGATGATTATAACGTTGCAATACAGTACGCTTACTTTTAGTTTGAACTTATCTATCAGAGTTACCGACGAAGATGGTGAGTTCCTGCTAATTGAAGCGGCGGAAGTTCTGCCAAAATGGTTGAACCCCGAAAATTCGGCCAACCGTGTATGTTCCATTTCTTAGCGTGTTAACTTAATTTCCTCCAGGTTTGGCTCTATCGTGGACAAGTTGTAATAATACCAATCAAGAAGCCTGATTCCCTTACCTTGTCGGATGCGATGACTGCTCTCCAAGATGTCTTCACCAACCGGTCGTCGGAACCATCCTTCGTAGCAGCTGTTCAAGAAGCAATTAAGCTTAGAATAAGCCGGTAAGTTATTCTTCGTTTCGAACACTTACGTCATTGTTCGGAGCAATTTGGAGACCAGTTCAGTTCGCCCCCTGTTCGGGGTCTCTGTCTACTCAGGTGACACAGGCTGACTTACGGGCGATTAGTTCAGAGGCTCCACTTGAGCCCTAGGTCCGGAACGTGATCACAGGTTCGATCTACTGGTCTGGGTTCCTTTGAGCCCAGATTATTTAACGATGGAGATGAGATCCTCTGCGAAGCACTGCTCCATGTTTTAACTGGGCTGATGTTGCATTCATGATGCTTCTTCACCGCAGTTGGGCTAAACCAACTTACACTTAAACTAGGTATTTTTAATGTGGATATAAGTCATTACATGTTATTTGGTTTGTTCTGTGTACTTGATAATCTCCTTAATTGCACATGTCGCTCACGCAAATTGTGTTAAACTTGCGTGATTTTATCGCGTGGTATTTTTTAAATAACTTTCGGACATTTTGTACTTATCACGGATTCACTTATAACCAATTCATTCTATATGCTCATTTAGCGAGTATTTATGTCGTCATATGCGTTTACTTCAATCGATATCGGCATTTCGAATGATTGACTGTTGTTTGACATCCCAGGTGTGGCTGCACTTGATGTGCATGTTGACAAGGTGCCTACCTGTCTATTACCCACTACCTCGTCCTTACTGGTTCCAGGAGACAGTTGGTCGTTGCTGGAGGTGACGGGGTGCACGGTCCTCTTGGTCGTGCCAGGCTAGAAGAGTTGTTCCATGCAGTCAGTGTGGAGCGGACTACGGTCCAGCCACCGCCTTGTATGCACTTGATTTTCCAAATACAGCGTGCTTGTGTTTGCCTGTGAAGGAGTGTGGGCCTGCTTCGTTGATGAAACGTGGCTCCCATCCACATGCCTCCCGGTTTTATTCCTTCGGATTTACACTGGATATGGGGTGTGTGGATGGAGCTGTTGGTGGTGTAGCGCAAGCCATCCATGGTCCCTCTGTATGCGCAGGCGTCCTGTGGCTGACCACAGTGACAGGCAAAACCGAAACAGGATGCCGCCAACCATGATGCGATCATCCCAAACAAACAATGTTACGATCATATTACCAATTTACAGGGAGGGCATTCGAGCCAAATGTACTAACCACAGGGAGATAGGTCTAAAACCGGCGGTAACAAAGTTGCTGGCCTCGATCCTTGTTCGTTGTTCCATTGTGGAACGGGACTCCGGGATTGGGAAAGAGCAGGCAGATTTGCTTCCAACGCCTGGGCTTTATAGACCATATATATTCTCCACGGCTGGTGTTAACACAGTGTCAAATGCTATAATATGAATGATGTATCAACTGTACACTATAACGACGCTTCGCTGCCGCGCGACCATCATCAGTCGCGCGCGCGCTGAGTATACCACGAGGATGCCCATCCCTACGCAGATTCGAACCGAGGACCTTATGGTTGCATACCAGGCGCGCAGGTCACCGGCCTACACGTGCATCACATGCGCCACCGACCGATCATAGCTGTATTTATTGATTTCAGGAGTGTGTTCGACTTATTCGAGCGCAATATTCTGTTCGAAACATCTGCACTGAAAGGTGTTCATGGATTATGCGAACATTTCACATGCAATGTACCTGAGGCCGCGTCAGGGTCTACGGTGATTTATATGATCTTTTCAACAAAGAAACGTTCATTAATGTTGCTCTGTTCCCCATTGCATTCAATTTCCTTGTGAGCTCCATCATGGTGTGTTCCCTTGCGGTATCTCACAATGCAAACTTTGAGGCATTGCCTAGTGTAAAACTGGTTGCTCTTGGTTATGTGGACGATATTGTCTTACCGTTGGGATGGACCAGTCAACCGGATAACCTCTCTACATTGGTCTTATCCTTTGGTAGACGCTTCGAAACTTCAAAGTATGAAGTGATTTTTACATGACCACCAGGCACTTGCTGATACCCTGACTCTTTGTAACGAGAAACACAATATTGTTGTTCAATTCACTTAGCTTGGCATTTGCGTTGGCAATTATAACTCTTCTTGAACTTGCGACATCTGTGCGTCAAATGGAAAATTCCCGCAGTCTGAAAAGCCGTGGATATAGGGTCGCATTGAGAGTTTTCCTATTGTATGCAAGTGAAATTTGGCCTCTTTGGTCGAGAGGATTTAAGGTACTTGTGGGTCTTTGATCATCGTTGCCACCGGAACATTGCTAGGGTCGATTGACACTAGCATGCCCGCAACGCGCACGTGCGTAGGCTTGATAGTGATTTTCAAGCTGGTTTTTTCAATCAACTAGTAACGTTGGATAGTTTCCGTTGGTTTAGGCACGCGCTACACTTGCCCGGTAACCGCTTACAGAGGTGGGTCTTGTTTTGTTTGCCCACGGCTTGAGGTGGGCATAAGTTAACTTGGCAACTGGAAATAAAGGCAATGACTATTAAAGTCGGTGCGGTTGGTCCGTCGCCCCCTTTTAACTGTAGTCTACGTGATCCGCCTTGTGATTGACTCGCAGTCGGCACCAGTGGCGTGTCTGCTACCGTTCCCTAGCTTAATTGCTTATCTAAGTCCTGTTTAGTGCTGAGTTATCTGCGGAGTAATGTCTGGTTATGACATGAGACAGTGGAAGCCGCAAAGAGGCTGTCTGGCCGATGCCACCTTGTGTTTGCACACCAGTTTTTTGGACCTTATATTGTTGACAAGGTGTAGGCGTTTTGAAAGTGTTTATTGGCTTGGAGCCAGCTTCCTATTCCTTCCTCTTTATTGTTGTTTTCATTCCCTTGGTTATTGGGGTTGTATGGCAGCGAAGCATCAGTTCACGTGGTTTCTATGCTACTGCTGCTGCTACTACTACCACTACTACTATTACTGCTGGTTATTATTATTTCTTTTGCGTTCATTGCCTCTGCCATACTTTGTCGCACATTGTTTCTGTGCTTTCCGATTCACTGTGTCGACTTTGTAGATTACATTAAATCCGCCAATTCCTTGACGCCAGTCTTGCCCATCGTATTCTGGAGTTTCAATGATGTAGTGATTCCTACGCTTGCACCATCTACACCTCAGATTCGAGCTACTACCTTTTTTCTTGATTTCGACCTTATCCTAGTATCCCAGCCAGCATACGATCTTTTGCGATTGTATGCATTAAAGCATCCATACAGGGTATTAGTGTACTGCGGTCACTTTTTTGCATATCTCACAGCTGCAATCTTGACACGTGATGCTACTTGTCTCGGTCAAATACATTCATTCAGCCCAGTTACGCTTCCTCTGACTGCCTGTTCACCACCGGCGGGTGGCTTGTTCAGAATAGCACGCGGAGTTATGTTGTTTTACTTTAGGATTTTTTCTGTTACCTTTCTTGACTAGTCTTGTTCTCACTTGGGATCATCACACAACAATCGCCCACATTGTCCAAATCACGGAGTGCGTGATTGACAAATGCACATCTTGGCCACTTGATATCTCCAAAGTAGACCGAAATAACGCCTGACATAGATTTTGTGTTCACTGGTGAGATGTTCACAGTCCATTCAGTTCGGAACTTCATTTTCATTCGACGTCGCGTCGTAGCCCGGTTAATTCTCTGACAACCCATCTATACGTCACACGATAGGTGAGCCCCTATATTCAAGGCAGGTCAGGATGTAGACAGCGCTGCATGCTTCTATTTAGAATGTTCTCCTTGGTAACTACAGTTGCAGCGGGCCACTATTCTAACCGCAACCGTTTGTCGCAATCCAGTCGCATGTTGTATAGCCACACAAGAAATTCCCACGAGCGACGATTGCGTTGTTGCTTGTGTGATACACATTATTCCCATAAAAGTTAGTGGGCGATATTTGAATGTAATGTATTATGACATCTCAACTACAGTCGTGACTCATTTGCCCCTTACGGTATGTCGAGTATCACCACAAGCATCCTTTTTGGAAGTCTGTGGCCCATAACTTTAAGGATCACAAGCCTGCCTTGTAATTTGAGGGCGCGGGTTTGAACCTCTGTAGAGGCCGGGCGACCCTCACAGGGTCCTTAGCCCACGTGCGACCGGTGTCGCTTCCGCAGCAGCGAAGCGTCGGTACTGCATACCGGCGTACTGCTGATGCCCTTATGGAAGTCAGCTTTTGTCGCAGATATATCAAGTTTATATTTTGTTATGTTCTCCTAGCTGAACAGTTTCTTTGTAAGCGTTTCATCACCAATCGTGATAACTTCTTCAGTGCGCTGAATCCCATAGTTTCTGATGGCTTTATGCATATTTATATATATATGTATATATTTTTTTCTCTCTCCTTGTTTTCTCTTTGTATTGCGGCACAGTAGCTGAGGTGTTCCCCACCTCTAGCTAACGTGTATGATGATGATGATGATGATGATGATGATGATGATGATGATATATATATATATATATATATATATATATATATATATGATCCACCGCAGTTAGACCATGCACCTGCGCGAAATCACGCCACTAATTTCTGCGCGTTTGCGGTATATTGGAGGTGCGCCATAGGCTATTCGGGTGCGATGCGCCCCCTAAATCAGATCCGCAAAGTGTGTCTGGGAATTGCTTAAATTCCCACACCGACTTCGCCTCGACTTTATTCTCTGGCATACTGCCCTAATATTTCACTACTCACCGCTCGAAGCGTAGAGGGTGATTTCCACATCCGGTACTACGAACTTGTACTGATGACCACGTATACGGTTTGATGTGCGCACGTGCAGCAGGGGCCTAAGCATGGGAAGTGACCCAGATGCAATATCCAGTGCATCATTATGAGATCCACTCGAAACCGACGATACGACAAGCTTTGCAGCTCTAGTCGTCTCTGTCAATCTTTGTACGATGTCTGGTAGCTACATGCTCAACCCGTTCCAGTCTCTGCACCTCGCCACGGGTGATCGGACAACAGGAGATTACTGGCACCACCTTCAGGCCAAGTGAAGATGCTGCATTTGAGTGCCCACAGCACATGAAGTCCATTTCACTGTGGCCTA